CATTTAACATAACAAATATTTTCAATAGAAACACATTTTATTAATTCACCAACTTCAAACAATGTTTTCAGTGGCAATTTGACTCTAATTTTGAATAATCTACAATCTATACATATTCTACGTAAATTACATTTTTTTTTTTGAAATTGGAGATTTGCCAACCCAGGTCACTAGATGTACCAGTCGGTTTTGCGTATAGCGTCGGCTGATATTTTCTTACTGTGTATGTCAAATGCTCTAAATTTAATATCACCATTAAAATCATAACCCATTTTTATATTTCGAATACATAATTAGCAAAAAAATATGCCAATAGCATATGAATGGATGTAATCAAAAAGTCAAACTAACCATGAATTTTATCAGGTAATGTAATTAAAATATTGGTAGGATGAACCGATTCAATTTTTATAGATTGAATCACGCCATTTTTTTCCATTGAAATCGACACAGATGGCTAAAAATGTCAATTGCAAATTTCATAACATGTCACCGAAATCGTAAATTTTTTATAGTTCAATCAATATTTTTTAAATTTTACGAGTTCAACTATATATGCATGCAATTCATATGAAAATTAATGATTTTCGGTGAAATTTCGTGCAATGTCCTGTAAACATAAAAAATAATAATAATATAAATAACAAATTTTATGTAGCAGATAAAATAGCAAATAAAATATGTAATTGATATTATGCAATGCATATGTTACAAAAGGAATACACTTTAATTTTTGGTATGTTGCACATGTATTTACGAAGGATTTTTTTATTCGGTGAATTAGCTACTGTTTGCGTATTTACAACCGACATGAACAACTAATATGTTGTTTCATATTATTAACCTAATTTATTCATGCAAAAAGAATGCACTACTTTCTCTACTACAGTCTACCTTTTCTCCGTGAGTGCAGCAGCACTCTTTTCATTACCATGCCTCGCACCCTTTCCAAAATCAATTCAAAACATCTATATCGATGAATAATAATAATTTATGAGCTCAGACCGAAATTTTATTAACTGTTCCGAGTCAATGGCATGATTGGGATTAATTTCAAAGGTCAAAATGTATGTGCCAAAAATGCGATCGATATTGCATTTTATAGCCGATGCAAATGCTGCAATGAACAAAAAAAAATTTGCTTACATTCAATTTGGTACATGATATTGGATTGATTGGTCGTGAATCGAAGTGCTAAATGAGATGGTAAAAGATTTACCATTTTGCCGCATTAAAAATTATACAATGAAAACTTTTGAATGCAACAACCCTAACATTTCTTTTTATAGTAACGTGGTTAGGGTTCTATATGAACCGAAAAAATGTCCTACCTTACATGAACGCTGCTTATATTGAAAATAAACTCTTGCAAGGGTTTTGTTTTGCGCCATCCGGCTGCGAGTACGTTTGTACAGTATCTCCTGGTTCAGCAGGAAGTATTTTGCTCTCTGCTTCATAACAAAAAGTCTCGAATCTCACTCGCACACTTTTGCCAAAAATCTAGTTTGTTTTCATTTAACTCGCTAAATGTTTTGCCGAATTGAGTGTGTTTAGAATAATGGAAAATTGGCATATGAAACGAATTTGCATCCATGTCCATCTCGATACGGTACTTATGTGTCACGCAATATGCAAATTTTTAGAGCGTCGTCTGGACGAACATACAAAAGGGACCGCTCACAACTTCTACCGTTTGACAGATAAAACAAAGAAGACAAAAAATCATGAAATACAATACATTTGAGAATAAACACGTGACCACGTAAAACTTCCTCCGCGTGCAATACGCATTTTAATGTTTCCGTTTTTAAGTTGGTACTTTTGAATTGTATGTAACTGTGACCATCATCAATTGAAAGAGTATTCAAATAGAAAACGTTCACCAGAAAATGTTATTAGCCCAAGTATTTTTTACATATTTTTTTTCAACAGGGTATGCTATTGTTCAATTCGATGCTACTGACTACAAAAAAATGTGCTTCATCAGAACTTATATGAGTCACGAAATTTGAATTTGAGACTACTGAATATAGTGAATAGAAAAGAATTTAATTTGAGACATTTCAGTTAATTAATAGAGAAAAATATCTAAAAGTAAATAAAAAAAAACGTAAATCTGAAACCATGAGTGTGTTGGATCGTGGAATAGTTAAAAAAAAATGAACATCTGATTAGAAGGGTGTAATTTTTGGTTTGGTGATATTTTCCCAAAGAATGAAAAGTCAAATTTTTCACTGAATCAACTATTGCAGTCGTCTGCTTGAGGTCGGTGTAATCAAATACTTATCAATTATGCTTTTCATGAGACCATGTTTCAGATTTTCTCTTTGAAATTTAAATTTAAATGAGTTTTAAAGTAGTACACACATTTTCACACGATGAATCAAATGCGCCTCGAATGAAATTTAAAATATGCTTTCAACAAAGCACTGCTATCTGATTTTAACCCTTTTCGTGTAATGATTTACTCGATTTAAGTAGTTGTACCAACATTGGTGCAGAAAATGCGGGCTGAAGCCACGTGACTTTTTACGTATGTGCGCCTTTTTTCTCGATATAACATCTTTTGTTTATCGATTGTTTCAAATTTCACATTATTATGACCAACACATCAGTTTATTACCACATTTAATTATGTCTATACTCGTTCGATAGCGTTAGTTGATTAAAATCATTTTTCATATCAGATTTCACACATTTTCCTCTCTCATTTGAACTTTGGTTCACATTGAATTTGAATAGCTATGCAATTCTATTCCACTCTTCGGTGTGATGAGAGGCTGTTTTAGAATATCATCACAATGTGAACACAGGGAAAGTATGTGAAGTTCAAGCCAACACAATAAACAGCGGGTGAATGTTAAATGGTGTCCTTTTGTTTGATGTAATCGGTCTTTGTGAACACGGTGCAAGGCGGGTTATCAAAAATTCATATTTTAAATTTCCATTTCTTTTAAACACACAAAGCATTATATTGTGACACATTAAAGTCCATTCCCCAATTATCGCTGTATTTGGCATGATTGATGATTTGTAAACAAAAAAAACCACGCTTGAAGCTAAGCACTCTTAGGCTATCGATATCCTATTTGCATAAAATATATTGACACTTCTAATATTGTTTACAATTTTTTTTATGAAGATCCATTACATTTCACTTTCGATGGTGTGAAATTTGTAGTTACATAAAAGATTTGCATTTTTAATATGGGAAAATCGTTTACCAGCTCGCTTTACCAGACTTTTTTTTTCGATCACAAATGAATCAATTTCGTCTTTAAATGTAGTTTGATTACACAAAGCCTTTCCAACAATCTATTAAAATGTAATTCATAAGTAATAATTTGCACATGATTAATCATCTTGAAAACGTGGTGATTGCATTACATAGGCTTTCTAACGATTTGTTTTAAGCGCGTTGTCTTTAATCTGTACTCAAAATGCACCAAAGCAAAAAAAAAATATTGTTTCAAATGTACTCTGATGCATTACCGATAGATGAATTAGAATGAACCGCCTTACTCAATTACGAATTACTGTCGTACATCATGTCAATTGCTCTCATCCCATATTAGTTCTCTTCCATCTGCAAATGATATTTCTCGCGCGTCTGAAATGATTTTCGTTAAAATTGAAAGCACGCATAGTAATTGCATAACCCGTGCCTGGTAACCGTACAATTTGAATTGATTGGTTTGGGCGTTGATTAGACGCATCCGAGAAATCTGTTCGAATGCAATTCGAGCGAATATGGAGTTGTATGAATAATGACCGATAGAAAAGGTATCAATTTGTCTGAAAAATAAACTAGATTGTCCCGCGACAGAGTAAATTGAGTTAAAACTAACGCAAATGCGTTTGCAAAGCGTATAACAACTCGTTGCAAAATTGTATTTGTTTAGTGTATGTATGTATGACATACTAGGAATATTTAATCCGATTTAATGAAGTATCAAGCCAATGTTTCGTATCATTTCTAAAGAGTTTATTACTTGCCATCGTACGATGCAAAATATTCTCAATTTTAAAGAGCCACGGTATGAATCATATACACGCACTTTGAAATTTATCGGCGTCAATTTATAATAAAAAGCATACATGTCCATGGCCGTTGAAAGAAATTCGTCGGACGTAGCAACGTTGGTACATTCATTTAAGCATTGCACATTGCACACATCCTTTTGCATCGTTCTTCATTACATTTGCATTAGTTTCACATTTGTTTGAAGTTAATCGCTGGCTCTTGTTCTCAACCTACCCAAACATTTATTACACATATTAAAATCCAAAATTAAACACGAGTGCTTCATTAGTCACTGATAATAATAAAGAAACATGCACGCAATGCATTTTCTAAAGGCAATGCGCTCTCTCTCTATCGCTTATCCATTCACTCTGTCACTTCTTCTCTCTCGCCATCTCACTCTCGATTTGACCATCGAGAGAAATATGATTTGATTATCTCGTTTGAGTCAGCCACACAAGCAAATGAGACGCATTCGTGCACTTCGCCATTGCATCATCATATTTCATATTTGAAAATTTGTACATGTACGCTTACCAGTTAGTCATTCGTCGATAAATCAAAATTTGAAACGACAAATATTTGCATAATTAACGATTGAACAATTTGTCAGATAGATGTAAGTGACAAATATTTGGATTTTAACTGCAATCTGCTGATAGCAAATGTCTGTAAACCAACACAAACACTGCAATTTAGTTACTGTGTAAAATATTCATTCACATCTTTCACTCGACATAGAAAATTGAATCATTTACTTTGAACACAGTAATACCTAATGATTCCAAAATTGAAACCATTTTCCTCATCCGAAACGAAATGAAATATCGTGCAATTTTCGACCAGCAAATCCGACCATACAAACAAGTAATACATCTAAATTTCGACTGGATTTTCCATTGAATCCAGAAGGAATGAAATACCCATAATGATGTAGGCCCATTGAATTGTCTGTAAAAATGCGAACAGTTTGGTGTGTGGTTTATGTTTGCAAATTACAATTGTAATAAAAATGGTTTATATTTTCTTTTCATAAACATAAATGAAACATTGAGATCAAACGTTTACTGCAATATCTCTTTGCTTTTTGAAAGAAGAGGACTCAGCTCTTTGAGCAAATCGCCGGAAAACTCACGAAGGAAGCTATTCGTAAATCGATTCATTTGTGAAATCAAGTTTGGATGCTCCTTCAATACAGATACATGGTTGGTGTTGACAGTAATGGCATGCAATGCTTCAATAATGCCACGTTTAAAGCAAATTTTTCTCCATGAATAGCACATTGAATATTCTTGATTCTGGTGTGTATTGTTCAACAAATTCCATTTTTCTGCAAAAAAAAGATGTAAACATTGAAAATACGTGACCGAATTAGATTTGAGAGTGCCATTGGTTGCGGCAGTTGTTGTTCGAATTTCATCAAGTGAATTTCGTACAATTTGTTCCATCAGTTGGGAATACATTTGCCAAAATTTATGAGCAATTGGTGTTTGAAGAGATATGAAAACATTCGATCCACAAATCTCATCTCAACCATGTAGTACCTATAATAATTTCAACAATTTGGCAGCAGCGTTGACCCTTTCGAACGAACTACCGACTCTAAAAAGAATTGATACTCAATTAATTTGGTTAAAAACTGTTGATAGACACGCTTTTTGTTGACAACATTTACTTACAATCGATCGCTTCATTCGTTTAAGATATTTTCAATGTCGGGGAGTACATTCTGTTTCGCCTTCGCTCTATTACTGAGCGATTCGAATTTCTTGAGAATTCTGAAAACAGAAAAACTTAATTACGAGTTTGTGGTTTTGTTTTGGGTAAATGTATTGAATGTGAACTTGGCACATTTCTTAGGAATGAAACATTGTGCAAATTACAACATTTGTAGAAATATTATTTGGTTTCACGAAAAAAAGATATAACGAATATTCAAAAGAATAAAAATATCTGTTTCGAGCTGTGAATGGCGTTTCTTTTTTGGCGATGAACGAATATCAATTCATATGAAAACTTACTTTGTAGAATTTCTTTCCAATTCATCACGGCAACTACAACTTATAATTATGTTAAGTAGAGCAAACGATAAGCTGTGGAACAGCATTTTGTGCGTTTATCCGTTGTTTCGTATTTTATTTTTGAATCTTTATATTTCATAAAAATCATTCACTCTAGCGAATTTAGCCTGGCACTAGTTCCCGTAGACTTTCAAAATTTAAGTTTTGTAGTAAATTTACTAGCAACTGAAACCAAACTTGTATAATTTAGCCGTTAAATGAGTTCCAATAATTTGAGAATCTATTTGCACACGTCTTCATTTATTTAACACAGGTGTTTTGACAATTTCATTATCGACAACAATCATTTTTTTTTGTTTAAATGTTTGATACTTTATCATCTAGCAATATATAGAAGAGATGAAATTGATAAATGTGTATTGAAAAAATTATGAGAATAAAAAGTTAATGAGTCGAAACTTAATTTTATCAGTAGCAGACCACATGCATAGTCTATGATCTGAAAAATGTGATTCAAAGTACAAGAAGAAAAAAACCGTATCAAAACGTGACTTTATTTCCATGAATCAAACAGATAACTTGGCATTTTTATGAGAAAAGTCAAAAGTGATTTCAATTTTCGGTAAATTCTTCAAATAAAATTTGAATGTTCCCAGACTGCTTACAATCGCATAGTTGGTTGTCCGTGTCATTCAAGCGCATTGATATGCACCATCAAATGAATAATATGCCAACCAAAAGTTGAGTTTTTTATTGTTCATCCCATTTTTATTGGTATATTTTCTCGACACTTCATTCGCTCGCCAGTTTCATCGCATTTATCTCAAAATCGAGCAATCAATTTTGTAGGTGGTTAGTTCAGCAAATGCACGGTAAATATGCTTTGATTCCATTTTGAGAACGAACACAAGAAAAAAAAATATCATGAAAATGGAATGAAATTATAGTATTTTATGGATTTTTAGTGCAAGAGAGCTATAATTTATGGATGAATCTCTTCGTTCGCATACTTTCCACTTCAACTCTCTTCATTGCATTTTGACAGCGCGCTTGAATATTTTATGGGCTGCAGCATGTTTAATTTTTCCTTATTCCTCTCTGTTTGAATTGTGTGCAAAGCAAGCGCTCACGTCTTCCGAAAGGATGGAATATTTTTTCATCGTATACTTATATACATATCGATGTCCATAAGTATCCAAATGGTTGCGGTATGAGATAAAAAAAAAAGTCATTCATTTTAACCCGAAATATGTTAATTTTCCGTTAAGCACAAAAGACCATAAAATATTTAAACACTATTTACGTTTTTCAAATGAAACAGAAAATTCATAAATAAACGGTGCATAAGTTATTGGCTGTCGCGGTGGTGGTTCGGACACTTGATGTTTTATCTAACATCTAAATCGAGTTGAATTCTTCTTCAAATTTGATTAAGAAGTTTTTACTGAATCATTTATATTTTGAAAAACTTTCCGTTAAGAAGACAAATCTCTTTTTTTTTCAGTGGAACGTATCAAAGAACAAGTGAAGCTACGCGCACTTATTCCAAATGAAATAAAGAAGTGCCGTCACTTTGAAACCTATTGTGAGGTACAATAATTCCATTTAACGAATTTTATAAATAGACATTTTTTTTATGATTCCAGTGAAAAAGGAGTTAGTATTTTAGTTTGTGGTTGACGTTCGAATAGTCACAAATCACAGAGTGAAATATCTGTCTTGACATTTCTTCATCCGTCACGTACATATGAAATATTTATTACATATCATGCGACCGTTGATTTCGGATTGTTACAACATGGGGCTCGATTAATAGCGAGAGAAAAGTCACTGGTTTCAAAACAATCAACAGCAGTTTAACAAATGACCCGAACATGACTAATGTATGCTATGCTTTAGTAAATACAGTTTATCTATGAATAATTGCGTGCACTTTTTCCATGAATAAACAACCAAAAGATTCCATTTCTCGAAAGAATGATTCATCGGTGCCAACTATTTCATCAGCTAAACAGGTTCAGACATGTCCGATGCGGTGCAAAATTGCAACGGTAAAATTATTATGGTCTAGATTCTATAACATGCACGTAATTATTAATTAGCAAATAATGAAAACAAAAACGGTTTTGCAACAAAGCAAATTTTTCAAGCGTATTCAGTTCTATGTTTGCTCTTTTAACTTCCGAATCATAATAATTATAGATTAAGTCGACGGTGTAGACAATGATTTCTTTTACTCATTGCATGCGATTTACTACAATACACGTATAAATATTGCATTTATCATCTGCTGCAACTACACACACACGCACCACATAACAAATTCTAAAATTTTCGATTCTGAAATGCCTCAACATTCAAGAGGGTCACGGTTCTGTGGCTGCACGTCATCTTTCTCTGCCATTGACCGTCGAACAATTTTTTACTCTTCCAATGAAGGTATGAGTCATGATTTTTAATATGTCTATTATTGAGCGCAATGCGCATATGTGCAATCTTCTATTTACATATTTGCAATCATGTTCGTTTTAAAGTGCGGATTTAATCAGACACTTTTGAGACTGATCGCATTGTGTGTTGATTGTGCCGAGATTCCATTAAATTGAAAACTTTCAACCTTATAAAAATAGAGGAATGAAATATTCCTAGACTCCAGCACGGTGAATAAAGGTAAACTAACGATCGAATGCAACTATGTTAATTCTTCCCTGTTCTTTGTTTTTACGAAAGTCTTTTCGAGTTCGTCGCTTCTTTTGCTTAATGAATGTTTGCGTTCTGATTTGCGCATCGTCATGTCACAAAACTCAGAGCAGCCGCGTGATCACACTCGCCTGATGCTACAAGTTATTGCATTAATTAGATAGAAATTAGAATTCACAACTCAAAACAGCAACTTCTAATTATATAAAAGAAATGTGCACTTCTTTGTGTCTACATCCAAACAATACGAAACAATGAGGCTTTGGACATGCAATCTGAGCACAGGTTGGATATATATTTAAGCACGAGCGATTCGCCGGTGTTTTTCTCAGAATAATTACCTGCATCTAACCAATTCCAATTTTGAAATGCTTCAATGTTATTGAACTCACGCTAAAATGTTATTTTCTACATGGCACAAAACTATGAAAATTGCTCTGTATGACGCAACGCTGAAGAAAAACCAAAATATGAGAGAGAAAAAAAAATATTCATGAAATTCTAGAAACTTATAAATAAATTATTGTTGACAACAGCCTCCAGACGGCGGACACCAATTACGAACAAAAAAAAATGCATACAAAATATATACAATGTAAAAATTACCAATAATGATAAGTCCATAATTTACGACCAAATAAATGATTAAGTGTTTAAAATAGCATTTCTAAAAAGTTATTAAGATGGGTTTTTTTCATAAAATTTTCCACAAAAATCAAGCCTTGTCACATTCTGATAATAATGAAAATGTGCGAATCAATTACTTATTTTATGGCACACGTTTGTTGTGTGCATTTCTTAAGTGCTCAGTATATTTCGGTTCGTTATTATGAAAAAGAATTCGGTTGAGTTGTGAATGCAATTGCAAATGCGTATATGTGTATTGTGTATCCTGTACATGATAAAAAAATTTCCTTGTCGCATTGACGGTAAGATTTACAATGTAACTTAGGCACCCAGCAACAAGTAATAATTTACGAAAACTCTGAATATATAACCCGAATAATGAAGATGCTGTATGAAGTAAGAAGAAAATCAAACAGTTAAACTGCTCCATTGTCGATCGTAAAAATCAACAATTTATGATCATCATCATCAGAATAACACCTTTGAACGGGTGATACAGCAATGAGTATGATCCTGCTCACACCATGCGTTTCATTCAATCAAAATAAACTGTTAAAAGTAAATATTGAAATAAAAAGTGTATGAAAACTGTTCATTTTTCGCTTCTGACGGCACGCAATTACGCCATATAACAATGAACTTCAAAATGAATACGCTCTTGTAAGGCACACTCTTCGTAAAACATTTATTCTTTCGAGAGTGAAAAAGTGAGTATATACGAAGAAGAGAATATATCAAATCATTCATTCAGTGCAAGAGAAAAGATATGCGCACTTTTTTCCCGTAAAACTATTGACGGTGTAAATTATTTATTTTTGTGCAAATAAAAGTATGTTTATTAAAGCCGACACAGATGACTGACTCGGTCGCACAGCAAAAATTCGAACAAACTCAACGCTGAGATTCACACAGTAAAATAGTGTGACAAACAATGGAGAATCTCAGTAAGAGATCCAGTCTTAGTCCATTTGGTCAGCAACATTGTAACAATTTTTATGATCGTTTTTTCTCTTCTTTCGCACTGGACAAACAATAAAGAACACTGTAGATTTACGGTGATTTTGTGTACTTTAGATATAAGCAACACACATAATATATATAGTGTCTTATTGCATTTTAATCCGAATAGTGATGTGCATAGAGATTTCTTTAAATTTAATGCGGCTGTGTTGTACCAGTTTTGCGCAACACGGCTGACGAATCACACGCACCGCAGAGGGTAGTTTTATTGTTTTTAATGACCATCAATTATTTTTGCCATTAAATGTACCTACTGGACACCGGACAGTCGCAGAACGATCAACCCCATCCGCTGAGATGCCATAAAATTCAATTTTTTCCCTTTTCTTTGTGTTTACAGCAGAAGAATTGATATTCGTGTTCTTAGAAACTGGTTTGTACCGAGGGTAGGTTGCATCAACCACTGCTTGATTGAATGATATTTTTCGCTGGCTCTTTTCTTTGACAGCGTGTCACTTTTTTCGCGTTTTCTCTCAATCAAGATTATCATATGTGTATTATATGCGTTACAATTTCGTGAAATGACTTTACATTCAGTAAAATGCTGAAAACTGGCCACATATTATAACATTAAAACACGGTCAAAAACTGGTTTTCACGCTAATCAAAATGAAACTAAAGCAAATAAATAGGTAATTTGTTTGCAAATCGTCAATAATTCTGATCGTAAAATTTTTATTCTTCGCTTTGTTCTATTTTTCTCATCAAATTTTCACACGCAACAAAGAAGCGTAACCAAGAGAGTATTTTATTCAAAAACAACGCAATTGCAGTGAAAAGAAACACTTTGACTCGAATTTTTTCAAAGAAAAAATGCGTATATTTCGATCAAAATTTGACGGATCGCAATTTCGGGAACGCATCATTAATAGAATTAATTTGTAAGTACATCAGTAACACGATAAGGAAATTGTTGTACGATTTACAATTTTTGTCATACATATTGTTTTTATGTTTGCTTTATTTCAAAAATTGAATTAACACTTTTTTCAATTGAAATATCGGAACGAATCATAATCAAGGTGATTATTTGATTGCCTTTTTCAATGCGGGGAGAAACTTTTGCAGTTGAGTTGGGGATGTCTTTTTAGTTAACATATTTTGACACATCATACAATAATCTGTGGTAGCTCTAGTTATTGGTTGTCTGCTTATAATGGCTGCCCTTAAAACTTTCGTTATTGAACTCAATTGGTTTTTATTTGCTTGTGCCGCTGCACTTCTATTTCCTTTATTGTATTGAGCCCAATCGTAGCATCTTGTCATTGCTTTGTTAACTGTGCCCCACAAATCTACGGTACGTTTTTGTCCAGGTTTCGTCAATTTAGCAGTTTTTGGTGGATTCAAAGCAGCAAAAATTTGTTGTTGAAAATGTTGTTTACAAGTTTGCATCGAAAATGGAACACCTTGTGTATACTGGAATAAAAGAGCCAATTGTAATACATATTGTTAAAATAAATGTTTAAGAAATGACTTACATGCACGGCGGTGCAAGCAACCAAGAACAAAAGAACAATTGTATTTTTCATCATTGCTACTCAACTGAAAAACTTTCAATATAGACTCAATTGAGAGGTTCATACTATTTATACTAGTATTTTTGTGAGAAAAAATCGCATTTAAAAATTTTCAGCATAGTTAAATCAAGATAAGAGTTCGAAATTAAAGTTTTCGTCATTTGAAACATCCACCACATTGTACAGATGATTAAATTTTTGATATCAAAAACATGTACATTTACAATTTCAACTTGATTGATTCACGAGATCAAATGATTCCATTGACATTTTTTCAAGTGAGAATTCGTTAATAATTAAAAAAACAAAACATTTTTGGCTTGAAAATGACAGAATTTTGTTTTGGTTGACTAATATTTAATAAAGTGACAAAGAAATGTTGTTTTGTTCTATTGAAGAATATTTTTTCTCTAAATATAGGAATATTCATAATAGGAAATTGACATAATGAAATTAATTAGATTCATTTGTCAAATTCCGGAATGTTTAAAACAGTTTGTTATGTTAACCAAAGTCAAATAGATATGACACTGAGCCTATGCCGGTCAAAGTGAGGGAACAAATTCAAATGAAAGTGTCAAAATTTATGATAATGACCTTCGATTGAATTTTTCGAAGTGGATTTATTGATAATGTTCGATGATCTGAATTCAAACAGCGCACAATTAGCCATTCGCGAGTATATTTGTAACAAAATCGTCACCCTCGGTTGACATCACTCATTCGATTCAATTCAGTTGTCATTATTTATTGAAAACGGTATATGCATTCCCTCCGTTTTCGTTAATAGCAAACGTATTCGAATGAAAATGCGACACGGAGAATTCACGTTCATAAAATTACACCGAGAATAATGAGCAACAGAGAGAGAGCGTCAGCGAATGGAAATGTAACAAAGAAGCAAAAGCGATAAAATTGTCAAAAGAAAATAACCGTGTCTTATTTTATGACGTCATAATTTAAAAAATTTCTATTCTTATTCGGTACATTTATGGATTCTTTCTTGACACCATTAAATTATTTAAATAGCATTTATGCATACAATGTTGCATATATGTATATAATCAGCGTTTGGTTTGCATTGTCACCATACTGCCGTTTGACTGATATATGATGCGTTTTTGTTGTGACTATGAGACGTGCGTGTCTCTATTGGTTTTTGTTTTTGCTTTGCGTCATATTGTTTGATCATATCCATTGATTCTGATTTGAATTAAACGTAATTAAATAATGTTTTTGTCACACAAAATCATCATTGGTGAGGAAGAACCCCAAAAAAAATGGTGGGTATGACGTCGAAATTGCGTCGTCCTGTGTGCGTTGATCTCGATATTCGGTGACATATAACAAAAGAACACACCAGAAAAGTCATCAAATGGAACAAAAGACATGCAACATTGTTGCAGCATACAGAAAGTATGTTCATGGCTGTTTCTGAAGCCTAGAATAGTAAGCGATTGTTCGAATTGTGAAAAGGTTTCATTTCGTTTTAATGATGGGCAGCGATTTTTTTTTGTTCAAGTCATCTCGGACTTTGGTCAATGGTGGCTGCAATTTTTTGCTTTGGATTTGAAAAATTCCACACACGTTATCGTTCATTGCATCAAATGTTTCTCATTTTAATTGAAACGCAAGTGAAAAATGTTCAAGGAAGAGATTTTCTTATGGGCAATACCGGCTCCTTTGTCACCATTTTATATCCTTGTTTGTATTGTATTGACGTATACATTGTTGCAGCTCCATTTACCAATGCTGTATTTTGAGTCATAAACGCGCACTTTTGTCACACACTCACACGAACAATACGATTTTGGTTTGTGTTTCTTTTGTTTGCAATAATACATTTTAAAGGCATGTCGAACGGCAGTCAATCGTGTTTTTTTGTTCATATTCCCTTCGAAGATTATGTGCTGCTACCGCGCACTGTAAAAATAACCCGAAACGAAATTGATGCATTTTCATATTCAAATTTTTTTTTTGTTTTGTTTAATTTCCAATAAAAGTTACCGGATTCACTGAAAATAAACAAAATGAAAAAGAGAGGCGAAGTGTAATAAAATTTCTTAAGCAACTAATTTGAGTGTCAAAACTTTCTTTGTGATGTAATCGGTCGGTGTGTGAGGCTCAGAGTTTTAACGATTTCAGTTTGTTTTTATTACGTTGCAAAACAGGAACAGTAAATGCGAGGATTAAGAACAACGAACATCTTGAAGAATGTGAAAAAACCTCATATTTTTTCCTATCCTTACCGAATATCAGAGAAACAAAAGTGTTTTTTTTTTAATTCCAGAACCTTTTGTTATGAAATAATTTTTACATTGCTTTACGAAATGATTTTCTACTTTAGTTTTGCAATTATAGGAAATATAGTTTTTGTAAATAATTGTGTCAAATCTCAAATGCTTGAAAATTTATTTTTATAAAGAAAATGTTTGTGAATTCGTTTTGACTCTCTAATGGTGGTCGAATAAAAGCGATTGATTTTTCCAAAGTGTTTAGTAAAGCATCGTTTAAATAGGGGCTTCAATTCAATAGAAAACTGCTCAAAACATTTCCGTGGTTTATGGTCGTGGAGTATACAAAGGTGTTTTATTGTGAACACCCTAAAAATCAATCAGCGCGAAAATGTTCAATGTAAGGCTCACGAATTCTTCCAATCTTCACGGCCAGCTGGTAGCTTGCGAATAACGCAACAAATTTATCTGTTTAAGTTAAAAGGTTTGTAATTTTATTGCCAGTTGTTAATAGTTCTTAATAAAGAGTTCTTAATTCTGTTTCGAATCGCAATGAACGGGTTGCAAGCAATAAAATTGAAAAGAATTTCGGCAGAACACACTCTCGATTAATATGGTTCCCGCATCGCTTAAAAATCGGCAGAATCGCAAAATGGTGTTAAGAAACCTTTTAATTCTTCTCTTTTTATGGCTTTCATATGAACCATTTTAAGAATGTGAACCGAGAAAGAATTATTTTTCTAGTGTATATACAGCGAGTGTGTCAAATAAATTAAATGTGTAAGAGCGTGCAAATTGTGACGAAGGAATAATGCACACGCACTACCGAAAAATGAATCTTTTATGTTGAATTTTATTGGTGTTCAACAACAAAGAAATGAAGAAGACGAAAACGAAAATTTAACTGTAAATATTGACAATCATATTTTTTCGTCACGTCAAACATTTGGCAATAATACAGTATTGTGCGAACCGAAAGAGGAGTTGATCGATGCGATTAAGTGTGCGCTGGATGCTTTTCATTTGCACACACACAATCTCGGTGTATTGGCTTATTTTCCGTACGTCTGTTGTCGTATATTAATAAATAATCGTGTTATTATCAAACATAAATCAGACATTGTATTCTTATTTATTCTTTCGTTTTTTTTATATATCGTGTGTGTGCAAATGCATTTCATTTTATCACCGTCTTCTTCTCCATCGAAGATGTGTGTGTGCCACTTTAGGAACGTATGTGGTAGATTTCATTTTTTCCGATGGTTGGTTTGTGCACTTTGAACATTTTACGTCAGTGTCATTTGAGCGACACATTGCATTAATACCAAATTCTTCTTTATACTTTGTGTGATGCCTTTTTATGTTGAATATGAATTATGTGCGTGATTTTGTTTTTTTCATGTGATGTAGTCTGCTACGGTGTGTCTCATCGAATATTTCTTTTGTTAGGTGATAATATGTCAAGCTACTATACACAACAAAGACGGTGTGTTTACATTTACTCGCTTGTTTACGCCAACGAAATGCACATTGAACAACCAGACTATAGCACATACACAACTTGCTCGCACAAAAACTCAATTCATTACTTATTGTGCATCAAATCATTCAACATCCCAAACAATGCATCGACCATATCCAAAACGTTATCAATATACCCAAAGCTTACGATACAAAGAAAGCGAACATAGATTGGCGAAATATAATCAAAGATGGCACGATAAAAATCCCAACATTTCATAATCGAGACCAAACATCCAAGAGTTCTCAAACAAATATCCACTCTCTTTCCCTTTGGCCCCCCACAAATGGCAAAAAGCATCGAAGATGCGCATTTTCAATTCACTTTTTTTCTGATTGCGGTTGTAACTAAACTTGGCTGATGTTGAAACAGATTTTTTTACCTTGATCCCTATGGCTATGATTGACAATGAAAATAGTGACAATCTATGAGACATAAAAAAAACGAAAGCAATCGCATCAAAAGAATTGGTATTATCATCGTTGTCTGCTGCTCATATTGTGTGCATGTCTTGCCATTCTCTGTTTTGCACACTCATAAAATATTTATATTTACATACGAAATTGGGATTTAATATCGCTCACACGAGCAAGTGAAAGAAGCAACAAAAAAACCTTCATTGTCACCATATTGCGATGGAATTGTTTGTGGATAAATATTTTCACTGTTTAGCATTGGCTTTGTACAGTGTAGTTCATTTTAACACATTTCATAAATGCTCAACGAGACGAGTGACAAAAAAATTATGCAACTTTGTTGATTCTCTCTTGGGCATCATCGCAGTATTAAACTGTGAATGTAGATGGGAAAATGAAATTGCCACTTTTGCATTTGTTTATTGTCAACACAAAGTTTTCCTTCTGCAATAGATCTTAAAACATGCTGTTAAATCGAACGAAAAATCATTTTCAACGAATATACAATACATCACATTTTCTTCGCAATTTCGCAGCAGAAAAAGATTGTAATTTTTCAACTTTGTAAAATAAAATCCCATAAAAGTTGTAATCCATGTCGTGAGTCTCTTCAAGATCGTTAGAAGAGTTAGAAAGTTTTAAACGAATTAATTGATGCGGATTATTTTTGTGAAAGCAAGAAAATTGCATTTCCAACAATGTTGATAAAGAATATTTATTGTTGTCTCCGGTTAATATTAAAAACGGAAATACGACGAAAATTTATCGAATTATTTGCCATTTGCACAATAATAAATATTGTGTGCACGGCAATAGAGTGAGTGCATGTTGCATGTATGTAATCATTGTGAAAGATTCTTTATAATGGTTTATATTTGGCAT